GTTTATGCTTATGGAAGCATTGATTTGCAATTTCACCTAAAATTACAGTGATTCGTGAATATAGGATGAAAGAACAATAGATTAAAGCTATATCATTCATTGAAATTGTCACAATTCGCTGTTAACAAAAAGAACAGTAAGCAATTCAATGCACTTATTATTTATTGGTTAGATTTATAAACTCTGTCACTCCAGAAGATTGAGATGGTATAGAAATTAAAAATCAATACAAGGAACATAATGATAACCTCAAAGATATTAAACAATAAATAGTAATGATATAGCACTTCCTCTAATCACCAATATATTCTCTCCTCCCAACTCTACTAGTGTGTTTCAGCTAGATGAAAGATAAAATATCTGAGAAAATCTACAGGTATCTGGCAACATCATGACATGTTAGTGGCAGCTAAAGTACTGGATCTGAACTAAATCTTGTTTTAATTTTGTTGAAATCAATGAGATTTAAATGACAGATTTAACTTTTCCCATAAGCACACTACCTTATTCTCTCAGTTATGAAAACATTCAGAAGATTCTACATTCAGGCGCAATCCATTTTAAACTCTTCATGACATGCATACAATTCCCTGCCTTTCACATCTTTTTCAGATTGAAGAGGAATAGATCAGAGTGGTACTTCAAAGCAGCCAGATGGCAATATTGGATAACATTAAAAGGTATTATTCAGCTGATGGGAGGGTAGTCTTCATGTGGTCCATTTGTTTTCTAACATCGCACTACCCCTTAAAAGCAGATTCAATATACTTCTAAAAATCAGCAAACCTTCATTGTATAAAAGTCTTCATGAAACATTCATGAAAAAAATATCATTTATTTTTAAGCATGGAGGTAGGGAGTCATGTTTTTAATGAAAAGTTTACAAAAATCCTGCTTTTGTAGCCATTGGCCTTAGGTAAAACAGGGCAATTATTTGCAGGATTGTGGCTAGGAAGGCAATGTTGAACCTGCCTTCCCTGTTCTGCTGGAATCTTGATCATAAGGGAAAAGAAGCACAGAGGAGATAAAGTCAAAATAGGTTATAGCAACCTCATGAATTTCCACTCCTTCTCCAAGTGCTTCTCCAAAGGTACAATGTGGCTTCAGTTATGCAATTGTGCATAACCATCTTTATTTTGTAGATCTCTGCTGAATTCTGGTTGCTTTGCCGTACATTTTGCTGTCCAATCTAATTCGATGAACAAGAACAAGCAATATTATGTCTTCGGGGTCCTACTGTTGGTTCTCTGCCCAACTTTCATATTATTGTTATTAGACAAGAATGTCTCTAGCTCTGGGTTTAGTTACAAGTAGGGCCTTGACTTACAACCACAATTGAGCTGTGAATTATGATCATAAGTCATTGCTGTCTTTAAGATAGACACCAACCTAATTGCCTTGCTCAATGACTGCAGCCCAGGTGTCCCCATTGCAAATGTTAAGCAACCACATGTGTAATTAAACAGAGCATGGGGTGCTTCAGGATGGGGTAAGCCCACATTATTTCAGGCCTAGACCCTACACACTGCAGTGCTCCCCCAACTCACATGTCATCTGTGCTGGGTCTCCCAGGGCCCCTCCACCCCCTGAGGCACACCTTGCATAGCAACCCTCCCCATGAGGTCCCACAGCCTTAGGCCTACTTCCTACCCTGTTGGGTCACTCAGCCTGTCAGGTCACTCAGCCTTGCACTTGCTTCCTGCCCAACCAGATCCCATTACTTTGGGTCTTCTCCTTGCTTTATAACACCATGTTCCACTTACCTCTTCCACAGATTACCTTTCTGAAAGAATGCCCAGCCAATGCAATGTGTGGCCTTCCTACAGAAGTCACCTTGGGTTGTGCTCCACCAGCAGCCAGCGGCAGACTCAGACAGTGCAGAGGTTGGGGAGGAACATGGGCCAGTCCTGGAGTCTGGAGAAGCCTCTGACGAGTGCTCTGTCTAGGAGGCAGAGATGGGGCCCACCGACAGTTATCAGCTGCCTTTGGAGTCGGATATCAGTGGGGCAAAAGAACAGCTGGAGTCTGTTCCTGATATGTGCATGCACAGAGCTGCCAGAGAAGGGAACGGCTAAGGAACAAGGACCGACTCAGGAATAAAGGCACAGGTAGATGGTGAATGGCCACTCCAATAGGGAATAAAGCAAAGCGAAAGGGAAGGGGAGTTTGCAGGAGACAATTAGTTCAATTCATTAGGGTGAAGATCTGTTCCTGACTGCTTGCCAAGTAATTGTTGCTACAGCATGGAATTTGAAAGATATCGGCCTGGCAACTCTCCAAGCCTGATAAAGGTCTGTAGTTGTGAAATCTCATGAAAGACTGTTTGCCGGTACTTTGCTGGACAGGAATTCCTTTTAACCTAAATAAAATAGGTTTTATTGGGATGAGGTGTCTGCTTCATGCTCTTAGGATGCCTAGGTCAGAACACCTTGTAGTATCCTGAAGGAATGAGCCTTTATTGTGATTTCTCAGAAAAGCATAATTAAAATTGTTTATAAAACTTTTTTTGATGTGGGTATCCTGGACCAGTTTGAGAGATTGGGAGCACAGTGTTATTGTGGTTCTGTCCTCCTAAGACTGGTTCCTGTTAGTAGTTAAAATGTCTTCTGCTAAGGATTGAAGGAAACTTGCTCAGTCTTGTAAAAGTTAGGGTTAGGGTTCATAATCACTGAAAATCAATTAAAAAGCAATTTTTGAAACTTTTAATACAAGCACTATTTTAAAAAATGTCAGAGTTCACCCCTGCTGACTGCCTAAACTGGCAAGTGATTTGTCATTGCTTCCTTCCAAGGACTGAGAGTGACTGGCCAAAGATCACCTAATGCTGTGTGTGTGTGTGTGTGTGTGTGTGTGTGTGTGTGTGTGTGTGTGTGTGTGTTTATGTGTGTGTACATACAAGAGCTAA